AATATCGGGAAAATAAAAAGAAATGCTATCATGGTAAGAAACCTGTAATGAGTGATATCGTCGGGGAAAGGCGAAAGTAAAAGGCGCGTATCTTCACGAGATAAAATTTTACAGGAGAGGGTTTAAACGTTATTACTTTATAATTTCAATGGCTGCGACTTTCATTTCTGCGCAGTAAGCTTTAATTATGTTATTTACGGACTGATAATAATAAATAGATTCTAGTAAATCAGCCTAATTTGGTTGCCAAGAGATTTACGCGGTTTGGCCAGTAACTTACCGCAATAATAACTTCATAATGTGTGCTAGTTACGCGCAATTGCACTATCCCCGACGGTATAAGTAATCATTCATCAAGTAACTCTGTCTGTTATGTTTTCACGACTAAACCGTCGAACTAATTTTTATGAATTTTAGTATAGAGGTAGATGGTACCTAGAAGAAAGACATAGGATACTTTTTGGCACAAAAATAAATCTTAAAGAGGGTTAAATATTGAATGAAAGTTTGTATGGAAAACTATGAAAATTAGTATAGTAGGTACAGTAGGCTACTCGAAATATAGTCTACGCAGACGAAGTCGCGAGTACCACCTAGTATTTAACATATTAGTCAGCATGCTGACGGTGGAGTGTGCTGACAAAAATGCGGAAAATCTTCGTAACTAAAACATGTACTTGCCTACTCGCATCGAAGTTTATATAGTGTGCAATTTTGTAACTTAAAGTACAAGGTGCAAAGTGCATTTACCAGTCGAGTGGTCGATTCAAAGTAATAATATTACAGAAAAAAACTTTTGTTTCTCTTATGGTTGGTTGTCGGGTAATTACTTCATCCTTGCGCGTGAGGTATGAATTGCGGAGGTATAAAATGTTATAGTTCAAATTTTATAGGTATTTTTATAATAATAAGTAACTCATCTGTTGCAACGATTTAAATATTTTAAAGTAATTTATTTATTATTTTTCCAATCATCATTTCTAGACACTAAAATTAGGTAGAGACAACTGCACATCAGAGATTACAAATTTTTGTTCGAAAATCGCCTCCATTGCAACGGAACAAGATACGTCAATGTGTAGCTTGATGTGCTGGCGTGTGTACATACACAACACGATACGTAAAAACGTGATTTTATGAAAATAAAAAGCGGATCTGTACAAGTCACCATGTTAACCTTCAAATGACTCCAAAAAGCGGTGTTCATTAGCTTAGGGTTCTTTATTGACTTTAACTCCATCAAAACTCTTAACATTTTATCGTGTTCCTAAGAACATGATAAAAACCTATTCACGATGGTGCCACATAGGAAATGAAACTATTTCTTTAGATCTACAACGCGTATGTTTGTTATTTCAAATATACCAACGTTTCGGACCCTTTGCAGGTTCCATGGTCACGCACCCCTAACAGCGGACCTGTAAAGGGCCCAAAAAGTTGGTTTAAAAAAATACGCTATTTGTATATAGTTTCATTTCCTTTTTGATATTTTATTACTGTTATTAAAATGCCTCTCAAAAAAAAAACATTTCCCAACGCTTATTATATGGTTGAAATCCTTACACTAAATAAGAAAAGACTTAATGATATTTAAACAGCTGAGCAGATGTTTATCAAACATACCTAAGAAAGAACCTTCCCTATTAAATCAGCCTTCAAATAAGAAGATACCGCTTTGAGATCTGCAAATCCACTTGGGGTAGCCACGACAGATTGTATGTGTAATGTCAGCATTACTGCGTTTCCGTTTTGAACGGGGTGCCGATGAAATTACGGGCACACGGGACTTGTCAACTATGTCACAGCGTGACGGGCGCAGTGGCAATGCCCCTCAGATCTTAGCGACTTAAAGTTCTGAGTGGTGGCACTGGAACTGTAATGTATAGACTTGTCGCTTACCACCAGAAGGGGCACGACTTGTTCGTCCCGTCCCGAATTGGTATCATAAAAAAGTCATTACTTATAATATCTATATCGAATGTTTTGCAAATGTCTGCCATTTAAATAATGCAAAGTGCGATCAATCCAGCTGACGTCATGCGATAAATAGACAAAAGTCATACCCTTGATCTATCTCTCCTAATGTCACAGACGTGTTTATAAAACAATGACGTTATACGATCGATAAAACGGTTGTTAGCTTACTATATTGGTAGGTACTTTTATTGATACGTATTTTAACGACACACAATATGTTCTTAAAACGAATTTATTCTGTGACGCACTCGAGTATACCTATCACTTATCAAAGTCTCTTCTCCGAGGTGACTCCGACCATAGTACGTCTGTAATAAGACAAGTATGATAACTCCATACAAATGTAGCAGCGCGGCTTGTACGTGTGCGCGCCCGTCACACGCCGTGTACAGACGCACACATTCACATAAACTCGCGATGCACTCGCGTTGCATAACGCTTTGTCCCAACACACCTTTCATTACTATGTGAATGTGTGCGTTCGTATACGGCGCGCAGAGTTCGCGCTGTTACTTTGCACGGAATTATCATACTTTTCTTATTCTACTATGGCTCGAGTTTCTTACAAGTCTATTGTGTGTACCTATAAGTTGATACGGTATGGTACAGGGTCAAGAGCACGTCAAGCTTTACACTTAAGGCTTAAATCCAACTCTATGCCGCTTAGAACGGTCCAAAGTACAAAGTGTCAAGCTTGATGTGCTCTTGACTGTAAGTGCGTTACGGGTGGAATTCGAGTTTAAATAAATTACTGAACAATACAAAAACTGGTCTTAAGTATGTCATGACACTAACTAAAATTGCAAATAAAAAAGCATAAATAATAATATTGTTAGTAAGGGCTACGGCACGTAACAAGGACGATTCATTGTAAGCCCAGCGAGCTGTTGACTTAACATAACTGTACAATTAATTGTACACATTATTTCTAATCAACTGGAATTACGTAATGCCGTAACAATCACTAATATAAAAAAAATAAACTAAATGATTACTTTGTAAACAACTTATAAAAAATATGATAAATTTGATTTTTTTAAATATATATATTTACCCAATCCCATTTCAGTAGCATCTTTTAGATTAATGATAGATTATTTATAAAAATTACTTAAATATTATATGTTTTTCTGTTAGCAATATAAATATACTTATAATAATATATTGTGTTTACACAGTTCGCATTATGACGAACCTTAGTAGTTTGAAATGCGACAAGAAATATTGTTGTTTAGGTATTATGTTTTTTATTGTAAATAAATAAAAAAAAATCACAATAGAATATTTTTTTATAATTTATACACACGAATGGCCACAATTTCCTACGATGGTAGCCTTTACTAACTTGTTTATTTTATTAGGGACAACAACAGCTTATTACAGCCAAATTATATTCAAATTATATAAAAACAGAACAAATGCAATCAGTAACATAAGAGAGCGAGATGTGCTCGTCAAGTATTGTGGACTTTGCACATTCTAATATCACACACTAAATAAAACAATGTCACACTTTTATGAAGCAAGTGATACAATAGTAACAACATATGTGCCATGTTATATGTATAACAATAATATCTGCATAATATAAAATCGTCGGGGATAATGCAATTACGCGTAACTAGCATTTGATTATGAGTCTCCATTTCGGTAATTTAGTGGCCAAATGAAATCCGCGTAAGTGTCGTGGCAACAAAATTAGCGTGATTTACGGGAATCTATAATGCTTACTGTGAAAAAATGAACGTCGTAGCCATTGAAATAACAAAGTAATATAAATCCCTCTCCTGTGAAATTTGGTTTGGTACAGATACGCGCTTTTTACCAATACTACATACGCGGATTTGCACTATCCCCGACGAAATTTTGAATAGCAATATTCCACTTCATATTAATTTTTGAAGCAAGCAACTTGAAATATTAGATGGAAGTCGTGCACTTTGTGGTGTAGCTGTATAAGCCTACGAATATTCAGCAAGTTTACTTACTTACTTTACTTTAGTGAGTATGTAATAAGTACTTTTATTAAAAAATCAAAATATTTCTTTTGAATACCAAGATCATTGGCTAAAGAGAGTAATGACTGTCCAACAGACCGTCACGGCACAATTGCGACCGTTCAAGTGGAATCAAGTGCACTAAACTGCCATTAGTTTTGTCAGTGTTTCGCCTACAGACATCCGCTAACCAAATCATGAGAATTCCCAACAAAACTAGCGACAAATCTGATGTCCCCAAAATAAAAACCACTACTAGACCTAACTAAGGATTAACCAAATAGAAAAATATCTGATAACTCCAATTTGGTTAGCTGCAACAAAATTATTCCCAACTTTACTGCTGGAGCTAACTAAAAGAAATTGACCCAATCAGATTCATATTTTCTGGCAAAGACCACGAACTTAATTATAAGTGTTATTTATTACTTAGATATGCCAATTAATTAGTACATACATAGTAGGTAATCATGATTTATTTTAACTTCAGTAAACAAGAACAAAGTTCAGAAAACGTCACAGAAATCATCAAAGATATAATGTGAAGTCCCTAACTAGCATTGAACTAGGCGTATTGATCAATAACAATAATAATAAGTTTGTTTATTTTCTCACCACAATATAAGTAGGTACATTGAGCATAATATCAAGAACAGTCCATAAAAATAATAATTATACTGTGTGAGACTGGTGCCTAAACTAGACGTAAGGTCTGTATTTCCGGTCATCAGTATCACCCTTTGGCAAATATTTGCAACTTTATATACTCGTACATTGACAATTGCGATTAATAACTTATCTATATATATACACTAAAGTTTACAAAGGAAAAAATAAGAATAAAAAAGTAAAATATTGTTTATGCATGTTACTTTCATTAGTAATGCTTTCATATACTCTCGTTATGCGAAACCGTGCCAAGCAGTGGAGATATTACGGGTCTACCAAAACTCTTTACATGCACACATACACACCGTGACTAAAAAAAATACCTTATCAGACTTTAAGAAACAAAACTTGTTTCAGGGCCTTCCGGTCGTTTATGAGGAAGGGTAAGAAGCAGGCACCTGCGCAGGAGTCGAAAACCCAAATCAACGGAGATAGCAGCCCCATACTCTACCGACGAGCGCTACAATGTAAGAAAATTACTGTGGAATCACGATGACTCAACTTTTTACTTTGTTTGACCCTCATATTCTGGTTCTGAGATAATCTAGTAGCAAATAAGCATTTGTACGCATTTTTAGTACCTAAACTTAAAATCCTACATACAAATTGAAAGTTTTTTTTCCTGTAGAACGCTATCTATACTTAGCTGAACTTGGTCCTTAACTGCTTTTAACGCACTGAAAAGTTATAATTGAAATAAACTTTCAGACAATCTTAAGGTTATTTTTATTTTCAGATCTTCGTAATAATAATATGAAATCTTAAATGTGTAATGTGATATGCAATAAACAATTAAAATTGAAATGTAACATCTGGTCAATTTGTATCAATAATAATTAATGTTTCGAAAAACACGATATAAAAATCCTTTACCAGTTTTCTCCCTTTTAACATGCACTCATATAGATAATGAATATAAGGAAAAATATTTTGCAGGTCACATTGAATTGCCTTTAGCACATTGATCTGTAAATGCTTGATTTATTATAAACTTACCTTATAAACTTGAAACACCCCATTGTAAAGGTCACGTAAAGCTTTTAACTCCATTAATTTCTATTTTAATGAAATATTAATCGAGAATTGTATCGTACACAGTAAAAGTGAATTATATCCTAGTAATAAAATTTTGAAATATGAGCTTTCAGCAAATAAATATGTAGTAATTTTATTTCTCTGAGTAAACTAGTAATGCCATCTACGGCGATGTTAGTGCAATTATTGGAGTTGTTTCACTTTTATAATGAAAGGTAATGACTAAATGTGATACTTTTAAGCAAAAAAACATGTGTTTTAAAAACGGTCTTACACCACTTTTATAATGATCGACACAATTATTAGTACAAAGATCGAACACAACGAAAAAGTCCTTGGGTCTATAGGTTTTGAACTTGCGTCTGTGTGCTTGTGGCTCTAGTCTGGCATATAGCTGCAGGTTCGAGTCTTAACAAATCAAAGGAATTTTTATTTGTGTTCCATCTTTGTACTAGAATTATAACAAACTAGTGAAGTAATATCATGATAAGTAATATTACTTCACAAACATCATGATATTCAATCAAATCAATTTTATATACGTTAATGGAGAAAATGGTATGGGCAACGTCTTCAGCTTCATAATTAAGATAGAAATTCAACTCTAAGCACCCTTGTCATAGTACGCAGCCTGGCTTGTTGCGCAACTACCAATAATTTCAAAATTTTTCCAGCAGTGTGCATTTATAATTAACTAGAAATATCTTACAATCGCACTATTCCAGTCGTTAAAACAAACAAATTTTGTTTGCCTGCCGGTGTAGCTTTTGTGTTTGGTAATCCACACCAATCAATGGATCAGCCAACGCCAACGGTCTGTGATTGTATGAAGATTACATGGAAAGTAGAAAAAGATCTATGTGAAATGTTCAATGTCGTAAAACAATATATATATATATCAATAGTACACGTCTGTCGTCCGTAACGTACTTTAATTTTGGAGGTACAGGTAGCAAGATAAGAAACACGTGATAAGATAGGACATTTTGAATATTGTTTCCCTATCGATACCCTCTAAAAAAAGTTAGCAATTACTAATCTAAATTAATAACGTCAAGTGCGTTTGTTCATTAAACCTTAAAATCAATACAGCATAATTGTAGCTGTAATAAGAGAAAATAAGTTTCTTTTGTCTTAACTATTTTATATGGACTTTGTATTGTATGTATTTTATATATCAAAATTAATTGTTTCCAATTACAAAGAATCATTAAGTGATACCGTACTCTATTAATCCATAACATGTATGTTTATGATTGAGTTTGTTACATTTTTACAATCCAATTGTATGTTATAATTATTAATACAAGAAAAAATCCTACGATCCGGCCGGATTCGAACCGACGTCTTCTAGCAAACCGTGCCACACGCTATGCCAACTAAGCATAATTAACTAAATAAGTTTAGTTGGCATAGCGTCTGCCACGGTTTGCTAGAAGACGTCGGTTCGAATCCGGCCGGATCGAAGGATTTTTTCTAAGTGTTCGCTCTTTGAATTAATAATTATAATAAACTAATGGAGCAATTTCACAAAAAATAATTGAACGTCAATTCAGTACAAATTAATCCAATCGTATGCTAAAAAATTGTATCAGGTTGTAGCTTAGCCTTAGCGAAAGGAAAGAAAAGGCTCGGTCCATACAAATTCATTGAGAAGTAAAAATGAAAAGACTGTAACAATAAAATAATATTTAAAAAAGTACAATCAGTATAAAACACTCCCTACTAAACAGTCCAGCGTCCTGATTTTGATTCAAATCGGAATCGATCCGATCGGGTAGTCTCGAAATCAGATAGGTTTCTGAGCGAGAAGATGAACCTAAACCTACTATATCTTTCTAATTTGTGATCTAAATCAACTATTGTTCCGATTAGAAATGTCAAAAGTTTCCGATCGGCCAGTTGTGAATCGCAGTTATGCGCTCGACTCGGAAGAGAGGCAGTTCTCGATCGGGAGAGGCAATCAAAATCAAGCTACAGATACTTACCCCAAAAGTGCCTATATGTATACCTAATGATTTTAAAGCAGTAAATTACGTGCAGTTCGAGTTTACATTAGGATGATCTATGAGCATGTCCTCCGTTTTGAGAATTTTAAAGGGAGTGATGACGTAACGAACCAACGTAAGAATAGTGGAAATAAAAACGAATTCGAGAATGATTTAATATTTTAAGTGACCTGCCCCCGTAGCATGGCTACGCATGATAGTCGCGACGCGCGCGATAAAATTGAAATAAGCGCGCGCTGTTGGCTGTCTTAATCAGATCTAATTTAGATAGCCAATAGGGCGCGCTTATTTCAATTCTATCGCGCGCGTCGCGACTATAATGCGTAGCCATGCTACGCGGGCAGGTACCAGTAAAGAGGGTGATAAAAAGGTGAGATGACGATGAAAGAGGTCAGCATCGTCACAAGGTGTCAGGGGATCTATTGTAAGTCAATGGGGGATCTATTCCGTTCTCTGTCGGACATTCGTCCGAAACAATTACTGTCAAATAAGTATACTTGACCAAATTTAAAGACAATGTCATGTATGAAGCATCATCGCATCATTTAGATTTGGTCGAGTATTACTTATATGACACTAATTGTTTCGGACAGATGTCGGACGAAGAATGAGAGTAAACCCCCTGTATAGAGTAGCAATAGGCTAAAATGCTTATTTCGTCGATATACAAGTAGGTACTATAAAAGAATGTACGGAGTGCGAGGTAAAATTTTGCAAACATTTGAAGTGTTTGTTACAAACAAAGATAATAAAATATTTACCTATCGTATTAGCTGATCAATAAAACTATTTTTGACACACACAACAAAAGTCTTATAGTATTATTAAAACTAATGAATATCACGGCGTTTCCCTACCATATTCAATTTTTTTTGTGAAATTGGTCCACTAGTTTCTTATAAATAACATATTTGATACTGAAATGGGGGTCATATAAGCCCTTTACATGAATTCGTGTTATTACTATAAGAAACAACATCGCGATAATCCCCTCTTACCAGCAGCCGGCTAATCCTAAGTCGAAAGATAAGTCCGGTGGTATTCATTCTGACTTTAAAGCCAATATCGCCGTTTAAACCAGTGTTTTTACCTGTTAAATTTCTGATAGTGTTGCCATTTAATACACTTCTAGTTTACTACAAAAAATTTGCAGCATAATTGACAAGATTATTAGCCGAAAATTCACTACACAACGCCATCAGTTTAGCTTTATGCGATTGGCTTTTAAATAAACTAATGTATAATTTCAGACTCGTCATCTTCAACGGCCGGCCCACGCAGTACAGTTGGATCCCCGGAAGTAGCGAACCGATACGTGTACGCTGGTTCAGTAACGCCATTGCCACGCTCTCGTTTTCAAGAACGCCTGCGCAGCGCTAGTCAAAATGAAGTCAACTCACTATGGTAATTGACATGTTATTCTTTGCCAATGGTTAAATTTAAGTTAAAATGTGTTGTAGGTGTGGAAAGGTTTACAATTTACAATACAAAGGGATACAGAGTTATTTTTTTATTTAGTAAACAACTTTTGTTCATTGACTTTTAATAATTCACATCATCACATTTTACTTTCGTACAAAAATAAAAATATATAGGTAGATCGCTCTAAACAGTTATAATTCTGTGTGTATATGATGCAAAACACAGAAGCGGGCGTTGGGGGACGCCGAGAAGAACCTGTACCGTGTGTTTACTGTGACAGTTGTCGCTAGCGACCGCGTAAATTGCTTCACAATTTTCTATGCCAAATTATGCAACGCCCCTAGCGGTTACAAGATGAAGTAACATTTTGTATACAAATATTTTACGTTGTCGCTAGCGAGAACTGTCACAGTAGACTCATGGTAGAGGCACAGATCTAAATAGTGTCAGACATTACAACAAAAACTTAAAAGTTTATTTTTGGGAAATTTATTTTATTATGTTTTGTAAAGTCATAGAAAAAGTTGTAGTTATGGTCTATACCTGCGCTATGGTCTATGGTCTATACGCAAGACTATTCCTGCGTGGTTGTTAGAATTTTACAAATAACCCTGTATACAACATGTAGTAATATTGAAATTAAAATAACAATAATTCAGCTGTATACCTAACATTGTGTAGTTACATACGCATTATCTACATGTAGATTTATGTACTTACACGTAATCCAAAATCGTTTACCTAAGTTGATGATGTCACTACCTTAATATCCTAAAAAATTTGTAGCATCATCCAATGGCGAAGCGCTTGAAACACAAACAATGATCTAATATGTGACATTCGCCGCTCACTTTTTGGGAAGATTTTATTGAAAGAGGCCATAAAGTACACAATGAGTCACTGTGATACAGTCACATACACAAATGAAAAACGACGTTATCAACATTTCTGCCCTCGGAACGAAAAAAGGCACAACTGCTGTATAAAGTACGCATAGTTGTGCCGTTTTTCGTTACAAGGGCAAATTTGCAAATTATATTGTTTTAAGGTAATAGTACTGATATTTAAAAAAAATCACGCTAAAAGAAGAATACGTATATTTCTTCTTAAGTTTTTCGCCGTCAATTTGCTACAGATAACTGTACAATACGACGGCGGAGTGACAGACAGTGTGTTATACAGGGTGTAAATTTGAGACGGGGCAGCAAGGCCAGCTACATTAATCGTTGTAGTTACAGGAAAACGGTTCTAGAAGACTATCCATGAATTTTGAAGATATTTCGATTGGCATTCACAGATTTTGAAAAAATGGTACAGTCAGATAATAAATAATAAAAGGTTTTTAACGATTTCTGACATTCGAGTACTCTTACCTCAGTTGGTCCGATAGAGACTATTGATCCTTACCAGCGACCGGATCGAATGGCATAAAAAAGTTTTGCAAAAACTGTGAATGCCGATCAAAATATCTTCAAAATTTATGGATAGTCTCTAGAACCGTTTTCCTGTAAATACAACGATCAAGGTAGCCGGCCTTGCTGACCCGTCTCTTTACACCTTTTACCTACAGTTTTCGTTTGGTTAGCTTATTATGTCACTTCTTGTTAACGACTTGACCAGACTGGTCTAATAAAGAAAGCCTAGACCAATAGAAACCATATTTTTCTTTTGAAAGTTGTACATAAGAATAAGTAATGTACATTGTAAGTGTATTATAGTAAAAATTTGTCTGCGAAACTTCTTTGGTTTTGAGACATAATGGTGGGTTGCTCCAATCCATTTCACCTGAGCCAACAAGCAGTGCCGCGAAGTTTTTGTGTTCTATTAAGTCTTTTTTTAAAAACAATACGTTTTTCTAATAACGCTGACATGTTCAATAAGAAAGAGGAAAAAATTTAAATAATATATTTTTTAAGTCATTAATTTTATATCATATCGAAATGGGTGTGTGCAATAACATGTATGAATAAAGAATTTGATTTCTAAAATTGTTCAACTAAACGACTTCGGCCTCCTGTTAAGAACCTGTGTGGATAAGAATAAACCGTCTAAGACCCGCTTCCTGCTCTGAAGATTAACAGATAATGGCAGTGTCACTTTGTAACATTTCATTGTATTTTAATATGACATTGCTGCTGGTTTGTAGCTATAGCTAGTTCTGCATATTATAGGTATAGGCAATCTCTTACGTACTATGCTACAAAATGATGTCACTTCTCACATCTGTGTGATTATTGTTTGTTTAGAAAGTCGGTTTACGATTACCTTTATTAATAGCTCATACCCTTGATTTAATTATGCCACATGTAATCATACGTTAAAAGTAATTTTATCACATGAACGTCATAAAAACAATACTAAAGCTGCTAACAGATTGACTGCACTTTTGCAGTTAATGCGTGAAATCGTAATCAACTTCATGCAGCCGAGACAACGATTGCATGAAGTTGATAACGAACTCACGCATTAATTGCATGCTGTTGATCTCGGCTGCGTGAAGTCGGTTTCGAGTGCATGCAGTTAATGCATGAAGTTAATGCATGAAGTTGTTATCAACTTCATACAGTCGAGGCCTCGGATAACGACTTCACGCAATAACTGCATGCAGTCGAAAGCGACTTCATGCAGCCGAGATCAGTAGCATGCAGTTAATGCGTAAAGTCGTTATCAACTCATGAAGTTGATTTTTAGCGTTAGCAGCAACCTAACTCCATGAAACAAAGTATGTATTGTGCAATTTTATAACTGTCCTATATAAATATAAAAAAGAGATCGACTAATTGCATTCGTAGAAACTTTAAACCTCTGTCCTGAATAGTGTCATTTTGCAAATGTGACCTTATTTTACTATGGCTGCTGTTACGTTATGATGTTATTATGACTCCGTCTAGCATTGTTATACATTTATCTTTAATACTCAATGCCACGTTAGGCGTCAACAAACTTGGAAAACAAACAAATTAAAATATTATTTGATGATGTTGTTGTTGGTGTTTGGTAAAGTATTAATCACAATCTAATACAACATGCAAGTATGATCATTATCACGCTGACAGATAGCGATGACCTATAGATAATATACGAATAAAAAAGTATGATTATTTTTATTAATAAAAAAATGCCGTCCAAAATGTACTGCGTAATATAATGGCTTACACATACGGTCACAAAAAATTGCATTTTGGTATACCATCACATTTCCAGTGAGACTCCGAGGATGGCCCGCAGTGAAGCGTTAGGCTCTGAAGTAAGCGTAGAGAGCGCGAAGCCGTTCGGCGAGTACCCCGTTCCGCCCGTGCGAGCTTCAAGGCGGAAGAAAAAACGCGCCCCGCCACCACCTCCAGGAGCTTCTGATGTTTCGGTAATACTTCATCTTTTATATGATATCTGTTGATGAGATTCGTGCGCCTGGTGATAAGAATAAGCGACACGCTTACCCATAACAGTTGCAGTAAGTGTTGAAAGAGACTGTATTTTAAGGCCTATTTAAAAAACGGTTTCATTTCATAGGACTCGACTCTAAAATTAAAATGAAGGTACGCGTTTTTGTTAATAAGACTTGATCATCATACAAGCAAACTCGACAACTCGAGCTGTTTTTAAAAAGACTCGCGCCGTAGTCGTGACAGTAAAAAAGGACGTTTATTTATATGCCGTGCTGGATCAACGGTTTCATTGAATCCTAATTCACTGACCTTTATTTAGCCCTAACAAAAACTACCCCACACTTGAAAACATTGGTTATGGTGACAATACCTAGATGTAAGGAGCTCTATTGCTATTATAATTCTACTTTACGCATTTATTTTAGATTTTTATAATCCAGTATTTAGAGACGAAACACGACATCGATTTCAAATTTGTGTTTACACCAAACAATACGTTCATTTATTTACTCGCTGCTATAAGTAATTTTGATCTTTTTACTTTCAGGTCATCAGCGAGACCTCTGAAACCTTGCAGATTACAGAACAAAATAAAAAAAAAGATACCGAGTCTGATTTAGACATAGAAGGTGTAAACCTGGACGTAGAACTTAAGATTGTCGAAGATGAAGACCTTAACAAAAAAACTATGGCGCCTGATGCTAATGGCAATGTTACTACTCAATTAGTCGAAGCAACGATAGAGGCTAAACAAGAACCGATATCAAAGAATAAAGCCCTTGAAATTCAAGACGGACTACCAACAAAACCACCTAGAGCAGAAGATACAAACAAAAATTCTGGTTCCGACTTTGACATTCTAAACTCTGTGAGTTTCCCCAAAGTTGATATTATTAAATATAGACGAAACTCAAGCGTCAACGAGGACGACATTCGATTAAGACGAGGAAACTTAGAAGACTTCCATACCCTTTCCAACAAAAGATCTAAAAGTCTCACAAACACTACGGATTCCCCATACGTGACGTATGATATTAATTTAAATGAGAATAGTATAACGGATACAAACGCCAATAAAGAGCCGCAGAAGGTTATCTGTAAACTTTATGAGAACACGTCACGGAAACAGAGCATCGATACTATTTCAAGCACTGAAAAAGAGTTCATGGAAATCGACAAAGTGCGAAGGGAAATTGAACAAGAAGTGATAAAATTAAACGCGGCTCTGGAGGAAGATTTCTCTGGACCTCGATTGTCGGTATCGGATATTAAAAAGAAATTCGATAAGAACGATGTTCCGACTTCGCCCAATCCTATACCAAAGCCTAAAAGGAGTAACTGCAGTGATTGCAGTACACCTTCGCCTGTAAACGGTAATATTAGTTACCTAAATTAACTTTTTGCATTATTCAACACGAAGTACAATATAAAAATATTCCCATTAAATAGGTACACATTTAAAATTTATATAATTGCATGTGTAGAATATGTCATTGGATCTCAAAATTGTGTATTTCGTGTATTTACTGAAAAATGTTGGATATAAAGGCTAAAATACAATATAATAATGTGTTAATCACTTGAAATAGAAGACAAATTATTTCAAGACAATCTGCAACGATATCTATGTATTAGCGTAAATCTTAGTAAATCTGTAATAGGAACCTAGTTCAAGAATATTTCGTGCCTTAGATCAAAAACATTTTTATATTTTTATTAAAAATTTAAAAAAGTTAGATATACAAAAATGCATAATTTATGGTTTATTTGCTTTATTAGGTGTGTGATAACATTGTGTAGGCTTCATAGTAGCTAACGTTTAAGCATTGACTCGAAGAAGTTGAGGGTAATTTATATTCACTGAGTTAACCTATAGTGGTAATTAAATTTAGTGGTATAATTTATTACTTATTTGAGGCCACTTTCAGGGATGTCTTAATTTAAATTTAACATTACGATTTAGTATAGCGGTTCATGGATGACTAGAGATGGGCAAAATCGAATGCTATATTTATTTAAATATTTTCATTGTTTTTCAAGACCACAGAAGATTAGGAAAATATCATCCATGTCGGTGATTATTACCTAATCAAATATAGCATATTATACAGCATAATAATCTTCACTCACAGATACTGCTCGGCTCCGCCCTGATTTGAATCAAAACATTCCATCGACATTAAGGCTCTGATGTCGATGAAACATTATCTTCTTGTTTTGTAGCTATAGTACGTTTTTTTACAAACGGGTCTTCTTTTTTTATTGCAGTATATTTTGTTTTATTAAAGTCTTTCCAATGTTTCATTTAGAGTCGAGGCTGTACCATGGTGTAATAATACAAGTATGGTGATTCCATTCATATGCAGCAGCGCGGTTTATATGTGTGCACGCTAGTCGCGCGCCGTGTACCGACGCACACATTCGCATAATAATAGAAGACGCGACGACCAGCGTTATGCACCGCGAGTTCATCGCGAAATCATGCGAATGTGTGCGTCTGTTACACGGCACGTTGCTACGTTTATATGAAGTTATATACTTGTCTTATTATACCATGGCTACACAGAGAAGGGTGTCTGTCTACTCTCTTTCTGCGTCCGACATACGTCCGAAACAATTACTGTCAGATAATTAATACTCGACCTGATTTAAAAGACAATGCCCAGTATGAAGCTTCATTCGCATCATGCGTCTTTAGATTGTTTTGGACGGGTGTCGGACGGAAAAAGATAGTACAGGGCCTGTAACGTAGCGGTGTAAGTGACTGGTTTATTCGTCCTAGAAATGACCTTAAGATAGTAGTGACGCCATCGAGTATATAACCAAAAATAGAGACGAAATGTCATTTAAATTGTATGAAAACTATTTTGCCTTATCACTACTGTAACAACTGCGCTACGATTGGCCAGCCCGAGTTCGAAACAATTGACGGGTGTCGTTAATTGTTTCACTTCAAATCGACCAGATAACTTGAGCTTTGCTATAATGGACGAAAATTGCAAAATTTAATATTTAATTTTGAAATAAATGAAATTTGATTTAGTTTGTTTTGTAATTAGATGTTTTGCTGTTTTTCCCCCCGCATCACCGAATGGAACAGCACGCCATTGTTAGAGATATTATCTTAATTACAATAAATACCGAATATTTCTGGAATATACGGAGACGTAGATACAGGTCAGTTGTTGGCGTTGCACTATTTCAGCTTTCTATTTTGTAATTTCAGTGCAAACGAGAGTTGATATTTATAAGTGATGTATCACTGATGAGTTACCAGTAATGTATGGTCATTATTTCGTCTCAATTTCTGGTTATTTACTCGATGAGCGACGCACACTCGCGTGTAAATGTACAAGATTCCTAATTATTTATACGTGTTTTTACACTATGGGACTAGAAAATAGAGTCTAGTGATTGTTGATAAAAAGAATAAATTATTTAATTTATCAAAGTCTATTATTATTCAAAAAAGAAAATAAAACTTTCGTTACTATAACAGGTAACTTTAATAAACATTATACTTAAATTCCTATATGAATATGTAAAATTGATTATTTAGATATATAATTTACATTGAATTGGGTTGCTGACTGCAATCCTTTAAAGGGATGCTAAAATTGCGAACAGAATTTAAGAAACGTTATACAAGTTTTAATTTACTATCAAATTACATTCTGTTTGTAAAACCAAGCAACCCTGTATAGGTACTTAAAGTACGCAGACGTAACAATGTTGTACTATTTCAACTTACTGACTCTCCCTTTCTTATACTTGATAAATCTTGGTAGATTTGATGACGCAGTGGTAACCAGAGCTTTGTAGGCTTTTGGAAGTCTTTTTTGTTGCCTTGCCTGTAACATTAAAAAAAGCTAAATGAACTTAATACGAGTGACCAGAGAAGCAGGAATAACTGTTTTTCTAGATCATATGGTTTAGGTGTTTATTATCAAATAACGGGGTTTCAAAAAATATACGATACACGTAAGGATATTGTCTAAGAAACGTGTTAATAAGACTACAGGATGTACTCCATCTGATCATATAAAATCCTGAAAACAGGCTAAAATGAAATACGAATAATTTAAGAATAAAATATTTAACTCTGGACATAATTTTTATATTATGGTGATATTTTTATTTATGTATGTACTACAGAGAACATGCTAAATTTTGGTTTTCAACTGAAGCCCAATAGTTATTAAATTCACATTTATCACAAAATTTGAAAATTACTTTGCTTTGATCTTTGACTTTGCTTAGCCGTTTAACAACTCGCCGCGCCGGTCACTGCATCGCCAGTCGCCATCGGGCGCTTGTCGGATCTGTGTTAGGCTCGACTCACACTGGCGCAGAGTCGAAGCGTCGCGACGCGTCATGTTTTTCGCCTATAGAATCTTCATCTTTATTTTCCCATTATTAAGACACAATTGTGTGTTTTGCAAATATGGAATCGAGTCGCTCGTAACGCTTGGTAGCATTCGAGCGGCTTCGCGCGTTACTTGGGCGCCGTGAGGCGTTAGACACCGACCACATTGTGATCCCGGGGCACTAATGCGAGAGTCGTCTTGCGTCAACGCGCGTCGTCAGGCGGTGTAGTTGGAACACAGGACGCGACGAGACGCTGCGACTCTGCGCCATTGTGAGTTGAGCCTTAAATTTTCTCCGCCTGTTCTTATTTTATTCATATAAATTTTCAGCGCACGGATTGTGAGACGCGAGGAGCGACTCTCCACACTTTAACTCCTACAATCTAAATCTCGCCTTAAAGTGGCATCGCGAGTGATAACAATCAAAAAGTTTTGCTCATCTAGAGATTTTCCAAATTACAGGTAAGTAACAAAAAATGAGCAGTAAGAAATGTCTGGGTATTTAAGTTTGCATTACTATTTAGGGCTAAGACTATATCAGCATCAACCCACTTATACGTCCGACTGCTGGACGCGGGTCTCCTCTCAGGCGAGGGTTTAGGTCCTAGTCCGCCACGCTGGCTCAATGCAAGTTGAGACTTTACACGATTTTCGACGGTTGTGAGGTTTCTTCGACGTACATCACGATGTTTTCCTTCACCGAAAACCTTAAGGTGTATTTCAAATTAAATTTCGCAGATGAATTTCCGGGAACATGACTACTAAAACGAACATTTTGATGCAGTCTTAATTACAAAAGGTCATTTGTACCTGGACAGTTTTAACCCAAAAACAGGAATAATATAGTATTTAAAAAGTCTTTATTAGGATAATTTATTACAGTTGATACACATTCGCTTATTATTCTTTACTAAATATTAACAAAACTTTCGTCTTACTATATATTCGTTCACAAACAGAATGTAGGTATATGTTACTTTGTGATAATAATTTTGTGCAACTTCAACCATAATAGTCACCATTGGGATTTATTATTATACAAATTTAAACACTAAATAATTTGTTACAATTTTACTCACCTTATTCTTCAGAATAGGCACGAAAACAGCCAATTTGTCAACTAACTTCACCTTAGCTGCTAAAGCATCAGTTTCATCTTCTGAATACAGATCAACTAGTGTATCTACAGCTTCCGCCAATACCCACACCTCATTCTCTTTGTGTGCCTGTTCTAATATAAATTCGGTTATGGCACAAATCACGTTCGAAGTGGCTTCGTTTAAATTGTTCACAAGTAGTAAGGCTAGTATGCCAATCATACGAATAAGGTTTGATCTTATCTCGGGCACTTCGCATTCTCTGATTCCTGTCAACATCATCTGAAATTAAGGTTTTAATGTAAAAACATCACATTTTGACAAAAGATTTTTAGTAATAGTACAAGTCTAAAAGCAAAACAGGTGCTATACCGTCGAGTTGCGTAAACCAACCCGTTACACCATACCATAATTATATAGGTCGATCTCTTTTGGCCGATTAATGCTAAACAGTCAAATAGTCTAGCTGATACAAATTGATTAACCGCTATCTATAAAGTCTATCCATATTGAGAAAGTATCCTTAAGGCTGATCGTCACGGTTAATTTCCATACAAAATGAAATCGATATTTTCGCCACTGCGGCTGCATTTATGTACATATTACATTTCCAATAAAAAAATATTTTTTTATTGGAAATGAATCATTGGACTTTAAGCGTTAATTATAGTTAATTAATTTCAAAATCAATAAAAATCGGTCAAATCTTTGCTTGTGTAAGACAATGAATACACTATAAGTGGAATCAAATGGCGTCGTGGTCTATGAACAGCTGGCGCAAGCGCCGCTTATGATATAACGCTAGTAATAGCAAAAGTTTAGAATATTTTACTCCCACAAATCAACAAATAAAATATCACTAATAATACGATAACCGTGTGTAATATAGTAAAATCTGATGCTGAACCCAGGTTTTTGTATATTTGGTATTTTGCTAAAAATTGAGAGTAGTGGCAGTGTCAGTGGCTAGCCATTGACCTACTTTCAACTGCCATTGTTATTTCCTTATTTATGGTATTCTGCTCTTCAATGGCGAGTCGATGGCGTAGTTTATTCATATTGTATATATTGAATTTGAAGAGTAAATTGCTGTTTAAACTAGATAGAAATTATGATATGCAGAAGATTACATAGGGGCGTTTTTCAAAAAAGTTGTTGGTAACTTAATAGGAACTCCATTATATGAGTTTTACGCCTTGTTCAGAGTGGCGGCGGGCGCGGGTGCGGGCGCGATTGCGTGTAAATCAAATGTACGAGACGCTCGTTGCGTTCACAGTGACCGCGCGCATCGGCGCCTGTCTCGAGGCGGGCACGGGCCCGGGTGCGCCCGGGCCTGCACTCTGAATGAAACATATAAATAAAATATTTAAGTTCCAAATGTTGAATTTTTACAGTACACTATTTTGTATCAGGGGTTTAAATTTTATTTTAAATTTTGACAACGATAACTAATTTTGTTTATTAAAATATTTCAATTCGTTGAAGAACTACAGATACCATTTTCCTCGCTATAGTGAGGTGAAAAGTTGTGTGTTCCACTCGGCAGCGAAGTTGTTTTGCGTCTCATGCCCTGAAACCCTCGATACGCTCAGAATTCTATTTTTCAATCTTAGAATCCTTCACTTGCTCAAGTTTCAATACAAGCACTCGCGTCAACAACAACTATGCAGCATTGCATATAATACCTATTTCATACTCGCTAGTTTCAATACAATATTTAAGTATCTTTTTATTAGCCTTTTAAAATAATAAGAACTCACCTCGATATCAGACAAAGCCAACTCTTTAAACAAGTCAAGTCTACTATAATTCCCATTTTCTCTGAATTTTATTTTGTCAAGAGCAGCCCTCATTACTGCAGTGGCAGATTCCAAAAGTGTCAAGTTTTCAGCACTCTGTTTGAATACTAACTTTCCAGCATCTACCCATATCTTATACACACCATTGACTCCACCTAGGTTTTCTATAGGTAGAGTTGATATCATGTTGTTAATGCAAAGTAGTGCTCCTGATTGTAGATTGTAAAGTCTGGAACAACAATTACTGTATAGTACGGAATCTAATATTAAATAAAAATAGAGATTACGAAATGGAGGCTTTTCTTTCCATTCACTACAATATGTCATATTAATTTTTATTTTACACACTCATAGCCACGCACTAGGGAATCCCTGAATAGCGGGTGCCATGGACACACAAATAAATAACTACAAATTACACCCAAACTCACGAAAGAAGTAAGTGTAGGCCATACAAATATTTTCTCGGTCCGGGATTTGAATCTGGGATCTCTGCATGACAGACCAGCAGGGTAAGCATTCGACTAGAGGCAGTGAAATATTGTATGATGTACCGACAAGGTATACAAATAAAAGACAAGTTTTTTAAAAAAAGAGAAGTAATTCTGGTGGTTATGAATGATAGGCAAATTGATGACTGCAATAAGCTGTAATACGAGTATAAAATAGGAGATGCTGCAGCCTTCTCCAAAACATAATCATCAATCTCTTATTGTGGAACTCTCAAGGAGATATGTATTCTAGGTAGCTATAAAAACACACTTACTTTTTAAAAACGGATTTAGATCCTTCATACTCCTTCAGTATCAACATGACATTTTCAGCAGGCAACTGTGTCTTAGCCCAGATTTTATCAAATACTTCTAAGGATATAACTGCTTCCATAACTTCTGGTGGGATTCTGTCTTCAGCTAGGTTTGTTATTTCACCATTGCTAAGATCTTCATCACCCAACTCGTCACTGTCAGAAGATTCTCCACTGTTGTCTGAAGTTTCATCATCTGAAATAAATATTTAAATAGATAATATTATAATTATTTTTAATATTCAGTACTTTGTGTATTGTACCCTAAAACATTTATCTATGAATCAATAAACATAATATTTGTATCTATGTAAAGTAAAATATGGCAAGAGCAAAAATTAATTCCAAGTCATAAAAGGAAATGTTAAATAAAAAAAGAGCCCTATAATAAAAGATTGAGTAACAACTAGATACAGTTTACTCTTACCCTCACAAGAACAAATATTAGCAATAATCTCAATAGAACTCTGCTGAGCGTCTAACAGTTGTGAAACTGACTTCAGCTGTGTATCTAAAACTTGAGCTTCCTTTCCTTTAGGTGCAATCACTTTGCCAGCTCCATCTGCTAATGGGACACTACTCGACAACTGATTACATGCTTGTCTGTGATCCACAGACAATGTATGAGCAAGTATCAATATGACTTGAACTATAACATTTGCCGGCAATGATGTTAAATTTCCACCACATGCGTTTACAATTACTCCTGCAGCTAAAGTCTTTATTAACAAGACAGAATAACTATCTCCTTCCAAAGTCAGTAAGTCTTGCAATTGGCTTTTAGCATTAGTTTTTATCTTTTCTATAGCCACTGGGTTATCTTCAACTACTACAAATAGACATTGCAAAACTGCTGTAACTATATCTGTGCTGAAAACTGATATAGCCAAGTAGCGACATAGGATGTCTAATATTCTTGATTGTCCAAGGTACTTGATGGCCAGCTCTGTAAAGGAAAAATAAATATGTTTTCAGTAAAATGCGTACAATATTTGTACAAAAATAAATATACAGGTAAAAATAAATACATGTTTTCTTTCACAATAAAGAAAAATTGTAAACAAAAAATTAACAATATCAGACTTCTACTGTAAGCTTAATATATAGCAAAAAATAGTGCTGAGACACATAACAAACTTTATTATGAAGAGTTTATTTAAGTTAATTAAATTTTTATATTTTGTCTTGACTAAATTACACTGCAATCAATGATAAACTGCATACCATGGTTATAGAATATTTTAATGTGATTATGGTCACTGTAAAATTAAAAGGTTTCTTTCCCTTTTAATATTGCCTATGTTGCAAACTTTTAGTAGCAGAAGAGCTCCTGGTGAATGAGTTCATCCAGGGAAGTACTGCCACATTACCTATTTATGCAGGCACAGTGGCATTTAAAGCTTTAAGTGGCACTGCAACTGCTACAGACGGGCATGTTGCTTACCACCAGGCACACAACTTTTTGTTTTTTTTGTTCATCCTGTCGCTTAGTATTTTAAAAACAAGGTATATGCACAGTTCATTTGTGTGCACTACTCATTCTATTCAAACTTAAAGACACTGCGATCTCTATTAAATATAATTAAATAGCTGTATCACTTATTTATTAATTATGTTTACCTGAGCTCTCACATAAATTCAAAAGCAAATGTACATTCTGAACAAAAGTTTCAGCATCCTCATCTTTGAACTTAGAATTAGGATCTGGGGTCCAAGTTTCTGCAAGCTGAAATAAGAAAATACTTGAATAATGTAGATTTATATCAATAGTAAACTATAGATTAATACTAAAAGTGTCAGAGCATGGATGTGCAATCTTTTACATACTGGCCGGTATGATATTGAGAGTTATTCTTTTTCAAATTTTCTTTGTTACCTCGTAGAACTCTCTTCATGTCAAGTTGTGTATTGTTTCATGTTATATATATTTTAATAAAACCTTGTTAAAATATTAAAATCAGTTTCCTCATTTATTGATAGAGCCAGAGGAGCTCTATCAGGTTATGAGAACCAACAGCTACTAAATATTGAGTGAACAGATTTAGTAGAACGGATTTAGTCGAACGTGATTATGTGATATGAATCATAGGGAGATTAATGGTGAGATTAACCAAATTCCTATAAATAATACTCTAGTTAGAGAAATGAGTACTATGTCTGGTCTGGACTTCCTGGGATTGAGAAGCTACAAGGAAGTAGCAACTTTGACAGTTGGAAGTTTGATATTGAGTGCATATTAGTCCATGACGATCTATGGCAATATGTTGAGAGTCCACCTGCTGCTGACGATTCAGTTGCTAAGCAAGGTGATCAAAAATCACGTACAAAAATTTGCATACTTATTGAGAGTCCTTGTAAGGCATGTACCTTACAAGTTTTAGTTTTTATATTTCATTTATCGATGACTATTCGCGAAAAACTTTTGAATATTTTCTCAAGGCGAAAAGTGAGGCTTTTGAAAAACTAAATGAGTTTAAGAAATTTGCAGAGACTCAAACCGGAAAGAAGCTGAAGGTGTTGAGGATAGATAATGAAGGCAAATACGTTAATATGAAAGTTGATAAGTTCTTGAGAGAACATGGTATTAAGCTCAACTTACGATTGCATACACACCGGAGCAGAAAGGTGTTGCTGAGCGTGCCAATCGCACCATCACTCCACTCAGTACATTTGAAAAATAGAAATCCTACCCTGGCAGCAAACTACAAATGGTCATCTTAGAGTATTTGGATGCAAAGCATATATTCACATTCCGAATCAAAAGAGAACCAAATGCGATTCAAAAAGTAAATAAACTGTTTTTGTTGGCTATTGTGAAGAATCGAAAGGTTATAGATAGATTGATCCTAAAACGAGAGAACTTCATAGAGCATGTGATGTTATTTTTTTCGAAAACCAAATGTATCACGATGTCACAAAACCAAAAGAAAAAACCGTACCAGTAACCATTTGTTTAGGGAATGAGGATATGCATTACGAACCGTTACAAAACAGCGAAAGTGTTCTATGGCTATGTTGAGTGTGTGCGTTATATTATTATTATTATTTTGGAATGTGGTCTAGGCTATTAATGTATCAAACTGTATCTGTTACCATGTGATGCTTACATTCTGTTTGTGTACCTTTAAAATAAAATAACAATGAGGGGGAGATGCAAAATGTTAGGGAAGAATTAAAGGCAAAATTCGAAATGAATGATCTAGGTAAAGCTGAACTATTTCTTCGGATAGAGATCCAACAATTTCTTGTTGGATCTCTATCCGAAGCTTGCATTAAAATCAAGCAAGAGGTTTACATTGAAAAGCTTCTTCACAGGTTCAAGATGAAAACTGCAAGGCAGTTAGTACACCAGCAGCTCCTGGACAACTAAAGGGAAAGAGTGTGCAAAAGAAAACTTAGCCTACAGAGAGCTGATACGCTCACTGATGTATATAGCTGTATGTTCAAGGCTAGATATAGCACACGCAGTAAACTTCATGAGTAAATTCTGCAATTGTTATGATGAAGTGCACTGGATCGTAGCTAAAAGGATCTTGAGATACTTTAAGGGTACCAAGAGCATGGCACTTCTATATATACTCTAAAGACGTCTCTAGTAGAAATATTCAAGGTTTTGCAGATGCTGATTGCACTGGAAATATAATAGACAGAAGATCATACTCCGACAATGTGTTTAAGATGGCAAATGGAGCCATTTTTTGGTAGAGCATCAACCAAAGATGTGCAGCCTTATCGACAGCTAAAGCCGAGTACATCAGCTTATCAGAAGCTACAAAAGAAGCCATATTTCTACAGCGATTTCTGAATGTAACAACAGGCAATGAGGAGTTACCTATTATGATACATACAGATAGCCAATCTGCTATGGCAATAGCCCTAAATCCGGTGTAACATCAGCAGACAAAACATATTGATGTTCGCTATAATTTTATTAGAAAAGGATAACATAAAGCTGAAGTATTTAGAAACCAAGTACTTGGTTGCTGATGCTTTAACAAAAGCAGTGTTAAAGGGCAAGTATGAGTTTTGCTGTAGAAAAATGGGTGTGTGCTGAGTGTTCATGACTGACAAGGTTTTTTGATAGTATAAGGAAAGCCAGGTGTAAATAATTGAGGAGGATGTCAGAGCATAGATGTGCAATCTTTTACATACTGGTCAGTGGGACATTGAGAGTTATTCTTTTTCAAATTTACTTTGTTACCTCATAGAACTCTCTTCAAGTCAAGTTGTGTATTTTTTCACATTATATATATTTTAATAAAAACCTTTGTTAAAATATTAAAATCAGTTTTCTCATATATTGATAGAGCTGGAGGAGCTCTATCAAAAAGTCCCTATATATGTTATATTATTTGAAACAGATCTACTAGCTACCTCATGGAAATACATAACGAGCGGCGTCATCACATCCTGTTCCATCAAAGCTTCACAGGTCTCCAATTTCGTAGTAGACAAGTTTCTTAGAGCCCCTGCAGCTGCATTTCTGACTGAACCAGCAGGATCCAAGAGCAACGGAGCTACGCTCTTCACTATGCCTTGACTTAAAACTTGTTCGACGTTCTCTGGATTCTCTATCAACATTGCAAACGTTTGTAAACCGCAATATTTTTCTTCCACATTCGCCGCCTAAAAGACAAACAAAAAAACTTAAATTTAATACTTAAGCTGATAACATTTGAAAAGTGACTTTCACGATCAAAATAATCGGCACAGCAGTTTCTTATTACTTCTAATTGAAAAATAAATAAATAAAAGTTTGGTTTCTCACCTGTAACTGGTCTAAGATAGTTTGAATTGCGTTCTCTTTCGAATCTATCGGAACTTGCTCTTCTTCATCCGAACTATCAGCTCCTCCCTTTTTGTGTTTAGAAGGTCTCAGCTTTCTGATTTTCCCCATTTTTATGAAAATTTATTTAATAAGTCGATTGTTAACCTAAAAATTCCATGCACACCTTCCAGCACAAATAAGCAAGCAATAAATGTCAATGTCACTGTCATTGTCAATTTTTTTTAAGTGTAATGGCTTGCGCGAGTAACCGTAAAGTGCCCCTAATTTGTCTAATTTATCCTTCAAACAACGTCGCAAACGATCCAATAAACTATCAAACAAGTTTAAAAAACTTGTCTGTAGTATACATTCGGTCATTTCTTTCTACAGTCGTGTATCTTTCTACAGTCGTGTGTCGGTACTGTACGTACCGAAGTATATTAATGCAATGAGTCACATCATATCTTTTTATAATTTGTGCAATGAGTAAGAAAAATACTAAAGTGTTTCTCACATTAACTCTAGCATTATGTTTTAAGAAAAAAGAAATATACGTTGGTATGGTATATAGAATGGTTGAAATTAAGAGAAAAACATCCACGAAAATTTGTCAAAAGAAATATGCGCACAGAACCAGACTACTTCAAGGGTCGTATTCCAAAACTTTACTTAATGCTCAAGTCAGGACTTCAGTATCATTTCTAGCACTGGAAATACGACCCTATTGGCAAGGACTCGAGTATGATTTCTAGTGCTTTAAATCATACTCAACTCCTGACTTGAGCTCTACTCAATAGTAGAGTTCTGGAATACGACCCTGAATCTATTAAGGTGAACGCATTGGCGACAACTAAAGTTTGGTTTGACAAACATACCTTCAAACATGATTGTCCGTATATCTAGTTTCCATCAAACACGTACATACATTATTTGTCAAACGCATCACACACGACCGGAAACGATAAAAAATTTGACAAAATCATAAAATTTGAGAAATTATTTGATAATGATCAAATGAATGTGGCGCTTAAGGGTTACTTATACAACACAAACACAGCATCACAAAAACAAATAAACATTAATAACACTATGCGATGGGTCTCAGAAGAGTCGCACCCAAGATTTAAGTCAAAAAAGATTTTTATTTTTAATAACACCAATTTATTATCGCCTTAACTCATTCAGAAAAAAAACCACGTATTACCGTTTTACCAAAGAGAATTAGCGTTTTACCAACAAATTGGACAACGTCAACATGAAACGTCCTTCACGTGACAAACGTTTAAATGTTTAGAAAATATTTTATAAATAATTTTTAATTTTATTAAACTTCAGAAGTAATTTATTTTTAATATTGATTTATTTGGTAACCGGTCGAAGAGATATAAAGTAATGGAACCCTCCTGCGGCGAAGATGAAGAGAGTGTTAAGTCTTATGCCTCAAAGTCCTTATCAGATCACGGACGTATATGTAACTGTTCAATTCCATGCCAATGTATAAATCAATTGGATACTCCCACGCCTATGCGCTCCTCAAGAAAGTTCGTATTAAGTGAGCATGTTTTAGGCATCGTATCTAATACTGAAAGCTACCTGAAAGAACGTCGTATAACAGAATTGGTCCGCTTCCTTTTGACCAAAATCTTAGTAGATGCTCCTGGTGGACCACTTGAGCATTTAGTCAAAATATTGGACGATTGTATGTTGTACCGGGCTGGATTTGGGCGTTTACCTGTTTTATATGAAGAAAGGTTTGTAGTTATGTCCGTAGGAAGCAGTCCTAGCATATATTTTTAGATAAAGGTTTAGAAACTTCAAATAATCTCTATTGTTGCACTTATGCTAAGCTTAAAATTTTTGTAAATATTGAACATAGGTAATTTCTATCGATTTAAGGCATTTGAAAGCTGTGGTGAAAAGTTTTGACGCTGGCCAAAGAGGCTGGGTAAATGCGAGTCAATTGCGTCGCGCTTATATTACTCTAGGTCTCAACCCTCCGAAAATTCCGGATGACGCGAAAATTCCTACAGATGAACTTCTGAAGAATCTAAAAAATGATCAAGAAATTGATCTCTCTGAGCTAATTATGGCGGGTGCATCTGATGGCGACTCTCGGAAAAATAACACACCTGTGTCATCATTTTGATACATTATAAATATTATTTATATTTATACATTATTATTTTTTATTATTACAATTAATTATTTTGCTAATATTGTTTAGATTATACATTTATTTATATTATTTTACCTATTTAATTTTTTTTAGACTAGTAATTGTTTTTAACTAGAAATCTGAAAAAATGACCAAGAAATAAAACTATCTGAGCTAATTATGGCGGGTGCATTACATAAAGAGTCATCTGATGACGACTCTCAGAAAAATAACACACTTTATATAATTAATCATTATAATATTGTTTTTTATTATTATAATTACTTTGCTAATATTGCTTAGATTATAAATTTATTTATTCGTATTATTGTACCCTTATTTTGCAATTTAATTTTTTTAGACTAGTAATAATCGATCTACTAAAATTAATAATAATTTCAGTAGATCGATCGCAGACGAAATATTTCAACTTAGCTAAAGCCTATTCAATATTCAGAGTATAATATACCTATTAATAGCTTAATAACATGTTATTCCTAATAAATAATTGACGTCTAACCAATGAGTTTTTTTTATAGAATAAACATAAGGATGTTCTTCTCTTAGATGTAAGTAAATATTTTGGTTTGATAACGCTTTCTGGCATGCATAATCCCACCGTACAAAGGACATCAACGGCATCACTACGCTAGTAACGCTAAGGCTCAACTCACACTGGCGCAGAGCCGAAGCGTCGCGACGCATCGCGTTTTCCGCCTATAGCATATTCATTTCTATTTTCCCATTATTAAGGCACAAATTTGTGTATGCAATTATGGAGTCGCGCGTCGACGCTTGGTTTCAGTCGAGCGGCTTCGCGCGTCTCCACACGTTACTTGGGCGCAGTGAGGCGTCAGACGCCGAGTATACTGTGATCCGGGCGCAATAATGCGGCCGTCGTCGCGCATCGACGCGCGTGGCCAGGCATTGTAGTTGAAAAACAGGACGCGACGCGGCGCTTCGACTCTGCGCCAGTGTGAGTTGAGCCTAAGGCTAAAATAATAACAATAATTAATATACCAGGTAAAAGCAAATGTTTCGTTGGTAAAATCATCATTTCGTCATAGCAACAGTAGACCTTCTTGTGAAAGAGTGTGTCCTGAGATGTAATGTCTTTCTAACTATTTATGCCGTCAAGCAGCAATGTGAACATTACTGCGTTCTGATTTTAAAGGGTAAGGGCGCTGATGAATTAACAGGTACACGGTACTTGTTAGCTTATATCTCAAGGTGACGGGCGCAATGGTAATGCACCTCGTTCTTTACGATTAAAAGCTCTGATTTGGATTGCATCTGTTATGGGCAGGGGTGTTACCACCAGTGCAGTGTTAGCACGACTTGTTCGACTGGATATCATAAATAAAAGAATTCCAATTATAACATTTAGTGTTACTTGTAACATTTAGTTTTGTGCTTTAATTAAATTATTTTTGCATTACTGCCCGTCCATATTAACGTACGTAATTTAACATGTGAAAATAACTAGTCATCAGGGATTGCAGATTGATGTGATCCACGGGGGGTGGCGACAAGATGACGTTGTTATGTAGTGACTCACCACGTACCGTTCCCAAATACAGCCAACACATACCATTATTATAAAAGCAATACTTACATTTTTACTTACTTTGAATTTAGAAAACAGTTCGGAATTTAGGTGACGTTAATACTTTTATACAACTACAATTAATACGTATTTATGGCGAGTTCAAAATACCATGTAGGTTTTACTGGAAGGTCTTAAAGAATATTATAAAAATCTAAATCAGCAACTTCAGAGATTGAAAATCTATTAAAGTACTTACTTAATAAGCATCAGATATTTCTAAAATAGCGAGTGGGGTCTAGGGAGTAAGGGGGATAGAATTGGATGTGCAAACACAGGTCCGCCGGGTCGGCGCCGGTAACTGCGCCAACTTGCAGCTAACTACACAACTTAGATGGAAAAGTTCTTAGTTACTAGCTATTCTTTTGCAAATATCAGCAAAATACAAAAGTCCATTCGTAAGCCGGTTCGTGTAATATATTTTTATATTTCTGAACTGTTTGTATTTGCTTCTACGTTGTGTTATTACCATACGGCCCAGTGTTGGACGTAGTTTACTAAAAATCAAGAAATGGACTATTAATCACAATGCATCTGATTATGATTAATGAAGAGACAATAGTACTGATCTCCTGAACTTACATATCTGATTCTACATACAATATCCATTCTACTACATCAGTGGTAAGAACGTTTTTATACTGCATCACAAAACACAACAAAAGTTCAACATCTTAACCAATATTATTGAATAAAAATGGTTAACAACATTTACGTAGAGTTCAATAATTCCAAGAAAATCCATCAACCAAACCCGACCGAAATAAATATGAATGGCTATTCTTAATCTTGCACTTAACATTTATCGAAATTTTAATTCCACATAAATGTTAAATTAAACCGTGGTTAATAAAAGGGTGGGCCGCGGGCAAGGGCCGACGGCGGCGCCTTTGAACCTCGCATGCCTCTCATTTACATATGTTTCAAAATCTGGCGGCGACTCCATTTGACGAGTGCCCGCTAGTGCTGCCTACAGAAGCACCTGTCGATATTCACATTAATTCAAATATTAGAATGATTTCAGTTTGTCTCTATTTTGGAATTATAATCAGTTATTAGCAATCTGATGCGCGGATCAATTAGGCTGATTTAGTTCTGTCTATCTTTATTATAGGCGTAAACGAATAGAAAGTATATAAAGGTATAGTTAGTTATATAAACAATCAAACCTGCATGAAAGAGAACTGAATATGCGAAGAAAACTTAGACTGTTTGTTAGGTCCCGTCAATTTCATCAACGAAAATAATTATTTGCAACGTCTATAACAAGGATCCTTACCATATTCTAACACTGAGATCGTCTTGAGAGCACTTCCATAAGCTGTACATAGATTTTTTTACTACATTGCTTCACCGGAACAAGATAAATAAATTCTTTCATGTATAGAAACTGACTAGGTTGGAAACCTTCATAATAATGTATATAAGACCCGTTGCTTGACAATTTTCTTAACGAAAGCTTAAATTTAACTCTATGCCGCTTGCAATAAGAACGGTCCAAAGTCCAAAGTGTCAAGGTTGATGTGCTCTCGACGCACAAGTTTGACTGTAAGTAATATAATTTAAATGTGTTAAGTATAGTTACGTACGAAAAAGTGTTTAGCTAATAGGGGAGCACGAAAGGAACCTCGTACGTAGGTACCCCTTTACTGTCCGTCTGGTGTACCCTGGGCAACAATTGCAAGCATTACAGTGCATGCCATTGATACAATAAGAAAAAGCAGGGAAAATGAAACCCATGAGCTTTAATTAATATGTCAATTAATACGTAGGTTTTATTAAGTTTTATTTACACTTTCATTGTTATGATTAATATTGTCACACCCTAATAAGGAAAAATAATATTCGTTGTCTCGCGCGTTTTGTGTATTCGTCCGGAAACAGTAATCAAATTTTTAAATAATTACAGAAAAAATAGCAGCTAAGTGTTCCATTGTTCCTTAAATGCAAAGTACGCGTTAAACGTAAAGCTACATTGTCAGTGAGAGTCGATATGGAGATCAGACGGTGACGTCACTAATGTGCAGTGAGGTACCGCGGCGCCCAGTAGCCGCCTCTCCAGCTTTCTTCATAAATCAAAAAGTTGTTTTTGTGTCTTATCAGCGGATAATCGGCGGCGGCAGCTACTGCGTGCCGGCCCCTCCGCCCGCTTCGCGCTGCCCCGCGCCCGCTCGCATTAACTTTTTGTCGAATTTTTGGGGGAATTAAACTTAACAAACCGACAATCAAAGCGCACCGGTTGCCGTTATCGAAAGCTTCCCGAGTTCATCCAAATGGAGGCTATTAAAGGATTTTAATCGAATAGATAAGCATAGAAAAAGTATTTAACGATTAGAAGTTAACGAGAAGCTATGACTCCTGCGGATTGGAATGCATAAGTAGTGCCGATTTCGGGGTAGAAAAGCCTCTAGTAATTACCATTGACAATTACTGTGCAGACGCATTCAAATGACAGGTGGACAGGTAGGACAGTTCCTTGTACAGGTAATCATGGGAAATAATTAGCTCTCGGCATGAGTGACGCCCGCCCGGAGTGAATTCCACAAACTGACATCATCGTATATCGCCAGTTCAAAGTAAAAGTTTACCTACAAATCTAAACACAGAACTTTGTTCTACAAATACACAGTAAGAAAATTAATTCCCTGCGAAACGCTAAGACGATATTTTCCAAATTACTTATTTCATAATTCTTACATAAGCCGAAGCCTGAGATGAGTAAACCTTTAGTAAAATGCGTTCAAATTCGTGACTTGTGTAATGATAATGGAACTTCATCTGCGCTTTGACTCTACACAGCCGAGTGATTTTGTGGATGCAATCGACTTGATTACCGTAAATAAGGTGGTGTTATTATGCATAGGGTTTGTTATTATGCATTTGATTAGTAGTTAAGTGCACATCAGGAGATGGACGTACCGTATGCGCGACGGCGGCGGTGCGGCGTGTCAGCACATCTACTCGGGCTAATTGCTCCCCCGCGGCGTGATGGATGGTCCGCGCCAGGCCGCCGGCCGCGCCTCGCGCGCCTCCCTACCCCACCCCGCACATCCCCGCTGCACACCCCACTGGCACAAGGGTTGTTCCCAGAAATTCCATTATCATCCTCGCGGCTCGCTTCATTTGACGAGCCGATGCCGACGACGGTTACAATCGCACCGATATGCTCTAACTTAATTTTTTGCTTGAAATTACAGAACAAATAGAATGACTCAGTTTTCGTTTACGCAGAAGCAAATAACATGAAATTTATGCTTTTGAAATGCACAGAACGATTGGGCATTCTTCAGTGAAATAATATATGATCTAGGCACTTAATTAAAAAAAAAAGTATGCTTAGTATAGGCAGTAAACAACAATAATTTGAGTAAAATAAATGACCTAT